CTAAGCTCTGTTGGAAGCCACCCAAGAATATGCAAGAGAGACTGGAGAACACCAGTGGTGAACAACATCCACCAATCACAGTTACCTGAACAGAAGGTGAGAGGGCAGATGCCAAATGGCAAAGTGAGTGGGCCATGGGGCAATGGTGAGCCTCGCCAAGCGAGGAAATATACTGCCAATGTGGATATGACCCATGGAGGATCTTGGGGATGAGCAGAGCCAATGGACAAGTTTTTTAGAGCACCTCATCATTCTGCCACCCTGGATTTGGGCCTACACTTCATTAGAGCATAAGTGTCCCTGAGAGTCCTTACTATACTGTTCTCACAATGTCAAGGACATCTCGGTGAGCTGATTGCTGACAAGTCAGAATGGAGAGCATCTGGCCATGATTATGGTTCCCTGTGAGCAAAGCAAAGCAGATCAGTCTGCCATAATTCAAGGGCCCAGTAAATGAAAATTTAGACCATTTCCTGAAGCATTTCAGGCAGTTAACTCACTCAGATATAGCAAGTTTGCTCCTTGCCATGTAGCAAGTTAAAACACAGCTGGCTCAGATTGAGGAAAATAGCAAAGATGCACATAACCTATGGCACTTGTACAACCAGTTGTGATTACAGGAAGGTGTGCTGTCCTATTGTTATCAACCACTTACAGCTGTTGGTCTTCATAGCTTTAAGGCACGAAATTGTCCAGATTTTGCATAACACAATGACTGGAGGGCAATAAGATGTTACTCATAATTGTTGCTAAAGTTTAAAGGTGATTCTTCTGGCTGCATTCAAATTGATATATTCAGCACTGTTGTGAACACTGTATAGCATATGTCACTGAGAGAAAAATTCAACTTACACAGGGTAGCTACAGCAAAAAATTATTGGTTCTCCTATAGATAGAATAGCCTTTGATGTTGTTGGTCCACTCCAATAAAGTAAAAAGAGAACACCTCTGTTTAGTCATGGTCATCAACTACTTCCCAAATGGGGTGGAGGTTTATCCAAGGGATGAAATTTCAGTGCATTCTAAGTCTGATGCACTGGCAAAGCACTGGATAACCCAATTAGAAGCACCAGAAGAAAGCTAGAGGTATCAGGGAACTAACTTTAACAACCCCATGTTCTCTTAATTGTGTAAAGTGTTATGTGTGGTGAAGATGCACACTTCATCTTATCATCCCCAGCCTGCAGGTTTCATGGAAAGAAAGATAACTCTGCCAAGTACTTACATTATGGTATACTGCACAACTGAACAGAGATCCATAGGTCCTTCATTGAATATGCTAACATATGGTTGAACAGCCTTGCTCCCTGCAAATGTGATGATCCTCCACCAAGAACTGACATCCCACAGTGTTCACAGGAATATGTGGATTGGTTAAGATCTGTGTTAGTTGATGTACATGAGTATGCACATAAAAGGAAGAAAGAATGCCATATGATAGAATAGCTGCTACAATAAGATAGTGAAAGAATGAATGTACCATAGTGAAGACTAGATGTGGTTTTGATATGTGCTAGCAGCACAGAAACCTTATGTTTCCATTAATGTATGAGTTACAGCTCTCAAGAGTATGCAAAATCACATAGTACACATTGATTAACTGTGACCAATGAACTTCTGAAGAAGTGACTTGAGGAGATAGTTGAGTGTGATGAAGATGAAATCACTGTTTTGTCCCACTCCAAACATAGAGATGAGGAGACATGGGCTGAAAGTATTTATCTGGCTTCTCAGGATGAATAAGATGAGGAAATGCTGGATCTGGAGGTGAGACTCAGCTCTGAAACTCCACAGAACTGACGATGTCAACTTCTCAATCAATATGGCTGGGATTATACCCAATCATCAGAACTAAGATGATCATTAGGTCAAGCACCTGATGACTGAAAGAAAATGGCAATCCTTGCTTTTCAAACTATCAAGTGATAATCACTATATATATACATATACAGTGACTTTCATTTGATTTAACACAAAGCTAAGAACAGCTGAAGGAAGCAGATGTAATCCCTAGTACATCAACACTTTGCACAACTGAACATTATATCTAGAAATTCTAAATCTCTACTTAAAGGTGTTGCAACCCTTCTCTCCTGACCTATCAAGTGGTATTATAACATATAGTGTATGTTCTAAATTTTATGACTGCTACTTGATTATCTCAAGTTAGGATGGTTTATAAGTCATAAATTTAGCTCAAATGAAAGGGCTTTGTGACCCTTAGTTTGCAAGCTCTCAAACAGAATTTCACTATAAGAGATATCAATAGGATATAAGATGATAGCTACTCAATTAACATAGTTTAGTGTCAGTGGATGAAATACCTAATGCATCAACAGTATGCACAACTGAAGATGAAGTTAAATGAACTTTGCAACCCTTGCTTTCTGAACCAACAACTAGTTTTTAAATTCTCCGAGAGTCATTAAACTGATCTAACCAAGTAGCAAAAGCTCCACAGAGAATACCACATAATACTTTCTAGATCTTTGTTGTCAGTACGCTTAAAACATGTACCACTTCTCCATATGCAGTGAGGGAATTGTGTTTCATTTAAGTGTATATGAATATATTATATAGTAACAGCATCTTTCTACACTGAAAACATATTTCTGATACCAGTAGTCAGGTGGTCATCTTGTATGTATATGTTAATGACTGTTTATAAAACTTCTGCACCACAAAAATGCCTGGAGCCAAGAATTTTTACAATACTCTCCAACAGCAAATTTTATACTTTTTGAGACTGTTGGAACAATCATCTTCGAAGGTAGGCCAGAAACTCTCACATCATATTCAAAAGTAAATGTCTTCATAAAAGTCTGTTTGTTTGTTTGGAATTAAGCACAAAGCTACACAATAGGTTATCTGTGCTCTGCCCACCACGGGTATCAAAACCCGGTTTCTAGCACTGTAAGTCCGCAGACATACCGCTGTGCCACTGGGGGGCCATAAAAGTCTGATTTCATCCTCTTATTTGTCAGCTAAAACATTTTCATCAAAGTTTCAATAAAGAACTGCAACATTCATCACATCGTCTTATGCGCTGCACAGTACGGGCTATTTGCTGCCTACGGGGTATATCTTCCATTGACATGGTACAACCCTGACAGAAATTTGTAACAAGCAGGATTCTTCAAACATTTTGAGAATAATTCATGAAGCCAAACGTATCTATAATGATTTCCTTAGAGCCTTAAAAAATAAGAAAATTACAGCACTACAACAAAATAATGGCCTTAAAACCATACACCAAATCCAACACTTTTAAACAGTGCTGTCAACGTAAATTTTCATAATGGCCCTTTAAGATTTTCACACAATATACCTTCAGAGAATGAAAACAAAACAATGGAAAAACAGGCCTACAAACCTATTACAACAACCCCTACAGAGAGATATACACTTCCCACATTCAGATGTTCACCTAACAATTTGAGAGGCGAACCTTTTAATTTTATAGGGCAGGTCTCAGACATACCTACTTTGTATACAACCACTATCCCTCCACTTGTAGCCAACAACCCAGGAACTACTACCTCAGACATCGTATACAACCACTATCCATGAATACTTTCTTTTCTAAAAGACACTACCCTGATTCTCTCATCCATACAGTCACCAAAGCTAGCTCATATACCCAGGAGAAAACACTCAACCCTACCAAGAAAGAACACATCGATCATATTCCACTTGTGCTAACATACCATCAGACCAATAAGAAGATCAAAGATATTATACTAAACAATTACACAATACTTACTGAAGACCCTACCACTAAATCTTTTTTCAAGGACCCGCCTATTATTTCTTATAGACATGACAAAAACCTAAAAGAAATCCTGGTGCATAGTAACCTTAAACAAAAACTAAATGGTATTCCAGGCACTCACACATGTAAATGAAACAGGTGTGTCGCCTGTCCACATATAAACAGGACTACATAAATACGAAGAAAGAACACAACTTTCAAAAACAATAAAATGGAAAAATAGAAATCTATAGGAAAGAAAAGCGTTCATTTAAACCAGATGTATGTAGGGTTCCCAGATTGCAGATGAATCTTGTTTACAGTCGTTCTTTTTTGTGAATGTATTTTGGAGCACTAATAAGTCCAAGGATCAAAAAGTCCTCAACTGTATGGTTGTTGATGGTGAAATGTTTGCCTATAGGTGTATCTTCAGTTTAATATGGTTTAGATGTTCTCGTGCTCGATCACCAAGTTGGAGGCTTGTTTGTCCAATGTATAAACTATTGCAAATTATACAGTAAATGATACATTCAGTGGTACATGTAAAGGACTGTCTTATGCAATTTTAATTACTATCTGTTTTATCTTTTCAGGACTTGTAATTTTTAAGTAATAGATGTAATTTTGCTTAGAATTTTCACGTTCAACATTCAAAATACTATGCATGCATGTTCTTTGAATTCTGCACATGCACTTTTGTTGTAAACTGTGTGATCTGACGAAGAGCACTGGCTGCAAACATCATCCTTCCTTAAATAAATATAAAAACTTGGTGATTGTTCAATTTTAATTTTTTTTATGAACGGTCAGGAACCAATATTTAGCTGTGTTTGTCACTCCAGTTAAATACCCAGAATACATATTTTTTTCTAAACTTATGAGGTAAACAGTGAGCTTTAATTTTAACCATTGTGTGAGTAGTTATCCATCACAGCCACTTGTTATCATTTATATGAAGTACAGATATAAAGTTCACATATTTAGGAATTGTTATTATAGATAATGGAAAGTGCAACACAGAAATTAAATGAAGGATCCCAATTGCTAAAAGGTTCGTAACCACTTGAGTGTATCTCATGAATTAGAATAATAAGATTCAAGTCAGGTGCATGATGCTGAAATGCTGTGTATGATCATCTTTGTCATGTGCTAGAAAGATAGTTATCTCAGCAGTGTTAGCATGGCTTGTAAGAAGGATGCTGCAGATTAAGTGGACTGAAAGAAAGACTAATAATGCATATGGACAGACAGGGAACTATTGCCAAAGTAGACACACAAAGTATCTTGGGCATGTAACGTACAGAAGTGGCCTGCTGATGAATACTCTTAATAAAAGGCTAGTGATGGAAATTGTAAGAATAGACAAGTGAGATACTTTGGCATTGTAGCATGAGGAGGTGGTCTTCTGATATAAACCCCAACAGAATACATAGAAGAGAAAATGCAACGAGAAAATAAAGACAGAAGAGGTTAGAGAACATTAAGAGGATGACTGTATTGTCATCCTCAGAAGTAATTTATTTCAGAAGAGATAGAGAAAGATGAAGAGTCACAGCTGCCAACCTTCAAAACTGAGAAGGCACACTTTATTGATTTCCTATGGCTTATTTTGCTGTCTAGTTTTTGTTTTTTAAAATATATTTTGGAATATTGTACTGTAGCTTCATTATGCCATCAGCAAATGTGCCTTAATGTTAAGTTGCTACAGGTTTAGATGTGAGCATGGAAGTAGCTATTAGTAAGCAATATGAAACAGTGATTTACTGTTTACCTCATAAGTTTAGAAAAAAATATGTATTCTGGGTATTTATTAGTAAGCAATATGAAACAGTGATACCTAGCAGATATTGAGTAAAAAATGTTGAATGTCAAATCAAGTAAAGCAACAAAAAAAAAAGGTTTCAGTAACGGAAATATCTTTTACTACAGCAGAAGCATTTCCTAATTAGAATACAATCACGATACAGTGGAAGAAACAGCTTGTAATGTAACATTAGTAAACATCTTTTACTACAGCAGAAGCATTTCCTAATTAGAATACAATCACGATACAGTGGAAGAAACAGCTTGTAATGTAACATTAGTAAACATCTTTTACTACAGCAGAAGCATTTCCTAATTAGAATACAATCACGATACAGTGGAAGAAACAGCTTGTAATGTAACATTAGTAAACATCTTTTACTACAGCAGAAGCATTTCCTAATTAGAATACAATCACAATACAGTGGAAGAAACAGCTTGTAACGTAACATTACCTTTCTGAAGATTGTTTTACTGATGCACAATTTACTTGAGAGATGCTCCACATTCTGTGAAATATAAACATTATTTTTATTGTAAAACACAATCAGTTAATACAGGACACAAACTACTCAGACTGCATACTTAGTGATATACATATAAAGATAACAGATGTATTACAAGTATACTTTTCAAAATAAATGGTATTTGCTGCAGTCTATTTGGAAATTAAATGTACATTATGTTTTTACAATCCAGATAATATGTTCTTTACTTTGATTACTTAGGCAACCATAATCACATACGTAATGACTTTATATATACGAATAGGATCACCTTAAGTAGCTTTTTTATCATAAAGAAAAAATAACTTAAATATGTTGTAAGTGATGTGTTTTTTGTCTTATAACCATATTTGTCACATGAAGATGAACAGCTACAAAAACAAAATCTCACCTAAACTCTTGTTGAAGAAAACTAATTATCTCATGAATAACTCTTTTATACTGTTCTGTCGATTTATCTGATCCCACTATTGTGATTTTTTTCAGTTTTGGTCTTGCACCAGAATATTCGGAAATCCTACAAGTCATAAAACTTACATAAGTCACACATGCTCATGTATATACATCTCTTATTACTCAATGGACAAGTACATACAGATATAGGAGGGTACTCCTTACATCAGTCTTAATATAACTAGTGCTAAGGTGAAAGATATTGTTTCAACTAGGTTTTTCATAGGTTTCTGCTGCAAACTGAATATTATCTCCTGAATATTGAACAGTTGTTGCAACAGTTGTCTAGACAAAACAACTGGCTGTGCAGCAATGAATCTTTCAACAACATAAGAACCAAGTGGAACTTCTTTAACATTATTTAACAATTATATCTCTGGAAATAAACCTTTAACTCAAACATCTCATTACCCTACAAAAGGGGAAGTTAAGGAGGTTGATTTAGCTTGGCCTTTGGACATATAATAATTTTATGCATATGTTTTACAACATATATAACTAAGACAGATAATCACATATTTTGAAAAGGCACCCTAAAAACATTGAAACTGAAAAAGGTCAAACAGTCCCAAAATTATTATTACTTCTGTGAGTATATCCCAAAATCTATCTTGAAGCAAATGTGTTAAATATAAGGATGGATGAATTTCAAGGTAAAAAAAGTTTAAATAAAAATTCAAACATAGTAATTTTAAATAAAATTGATTTTACTAATAAAGATAAAGACATTTTAAATAACAAGACTAGATTTCTGAAATTGGAGGAGGATTCATCTAAGACCACAGAAGGTAAATACACAGAAAATAAATCTCATATAAAGATGGTTTTCTGGTTACAGCAATTGTTTCATATAATAACATACATGACTATAAACTTGCTGATTCTCTAGTAACACTTTGGAACCATTAACTAGTAAAGAATATATATGAAAGATAATATTGATTTTTATTAAGAAATACGTGATCTAAGCTTTGATAATATGTACTATGCTAGTTATGGTATGTCAGGTTTTTATGTATTTATGGGCCAGATTCTTAACAGTAGGTGTCTGTGACTTGTTGGCAATAAATTTCAACAATAAGAAAACAGTATACAGTCCACTTGTTTTAAGATACTATATTAAAACAAGTCAAATGTATATACAAATGTTCATTACATCGTTGTATCCAGAGCTTTAAGTAATTGTTTCTTTTTTGTAAAGTTCCACACAGGCTAGTTCAGTTACTTTAGAACACAATTTGAAAAGAGAAATTATTCTTCCTGCTCTGTTATTACAATACAGTCTCTGATAATTTCATTTTAAAGTTATTATTTTCCTATACTGAAAATATATTTCTAATTGGCACTTACTTCCTCTTACACTGTAGCTATTTTTGTTCAGTGCTGCCCTCTATATGCAAAACTGTTTTCACATGCCACAAGCCTTGAATTCCCATCTACCCCATTACCATTATCAACGTGGTTTACTGAGTCTCACATTAAGTCATCATGCAACAACTATCCACCAATAGGACTGTCCCTCCTGATGCATGTGACTCACTCTATTCAATTCCACCAAATTATCACTTTGAGATTAGGCAGAAAAGAACGCACTGGTTTTCAGTGTGGAGGAAGGGTGGGATGTGTGACAAGAGGTAAGTATATATTAGAAATATATTTTCAGTATAGGAAAAAAGTAACTTTTGATACAGTACCTTACCTCTTCTCACATGTGTAGCTAGAATCTCACATTGAATAGGAACTGGTGAGAGGGACAGAAAGAAGTATCCTTTGAAAGTGTCTGAAGAGCACCCATGAAGTGTGATCCCCATTGGGAGAGGAACACACATAGGAGATCACACAACTTCTGTACCAGGTATATTCTGTACTCAGTGTGGAAATAGGTGTCACATACACAGATAGAAAGTGGGAGGAGCACAACCAAAAGTGAGAGAAAAAAATGGGTGGGTTTGAATCTGAACTACAATATATCGGAATCTCAATCCCAGTAAAGAAAGACTGTAGAAAAACCATTTACAGACAGGAATGTAGGAGAAGCTAAAATGGATGTGCCCAAGGTCTAGTGGGGCTAGGGTCTGACAGATCATATGTGGCTGGTCAACTTCAGTCTAAATCTAAGCAGCGTTGAAACCAATAGGAATAGGGCTGAGGATGACAATTGCACTAACATGGAGGTAATAAGGGAAAAGATATTTCCTGAAAACTCCTCAGAGGAGCTGTGGAGTGCCTCAGGAAGGAGGTATATGGTGGATAAGTACTGTAAGAGAGCTGTAAGTGTCAGACAAAGGCGAAAAATTTGGACATGGGAGAAATGTATAGGACTGTCAGGGTCAACCTTCACACTGGCAAAAGTGACTCCAACTGCTGGGAATCAAGAAATGGTTAATCAGCCTGATGATAAGTGAAAGCTTAATGATAAGAAGCCTGTGCATGGTGGGTGAGGCAAGCTAGCACCAGCTCTCAACTGAGAAACAAAATGCTCAGCATGAACCCTGATGTCAGGAGGAGGAAGGAAAATAAGATACTTTAAGGATGGAGTGTCATGTAATAAGGAAGGAAGAGGATCATAGAAAATTGGTGAAATCAATAAAACAGAATACATCTGAGAAATCATATCGAAAAAGGCTGAGTTAGGCCTAGCAGATTCCACAGGAAAGGCATGGTATAGTTAGATGGAGATAAAAGGCTGTCAAAATCCTTCTTGTCATAAATAGGCTTGTATGATTCCAGAAGAACCCAAACATTGTAGAGAGAAGAAGGTTGAATCATATAACAGTCATTCTCCCAATGAATGATAGCCAAAAAATCCTCAGTTGAGATCCCCAGACCTGAAGCCTGTGTAATGGCACTTGAAGTAGTGGTAAGAATATCATAAGTTGTAACACGAACTTCAGAATTCATCTTAAACTGGGAAGAATTGAAAAGGCAAAAAAAAAAGATAAACAAGGTAAGTTATCATGGCAAAATACGACAGAAAAACCACCTGTAACAAAGGAATAATTTAGTTAAATCACTACTTCGCACACAAAAAAAAAATCAATGAACACATGATGAAAGCACAATTGAAAAACATCTGCACTAGATCAGTAGAATTAAATAGACAGAGTCAGGTGCATCAGAGGGTATGTCACACTACTACTGGTGGAGGGTTGTCGCATGATGAGTTACATGTGAGATGCTGCGAACCACGTGGGGTAAAGGGGGGTTCAAGGATGTGGCATATGAAATTTTTTTTAGCATATAAAGGGCAGCATGTAAGGTACCATATTGTAATCATTACTATAACTGTTAGTTACCACAACTGTAACCAGAGCCTTATATAATTGTCTCTTTTTTTTGTCAAAGTCCACATGGGCTAGTTCAGTTACTTTAGAACACAACTGTCAAAACAAATTATTTCTTCTCTACTTCGTGATCACAATACAAGCTGTGATAAGTTCACTTTAAAAATTGCCTCAGATCTATATGCTCTTTATTGCTAAATTCACATTCATCCAGTCTAGATCTATCTATATAACTAACTTGCTTGAACTACATTTTGGATGCACATTTATAGCCTAACAGAGGCCTTGAGCATTTCACACACTATGAGATATCATGATACAATAATACTCAATTAAAACAACGAGAAAAACTTAGAAAGTTCTAGTAAAATGGGGCAATAATATAACAATCACCAACTGACAACAACTAAATTACAAAACATATCAATCGTAAACAGTTAGATAAACAAACTTGCGATAAACTACTGCTCCTAAGAATATGTACATGTAACACTCGCACTATACTTAAACCAGCTAATTCATAAGAAATGAAAATTATTAGAAGTGTGTACCACATGAATAATGATTTTATATTTTAAACTACTCACCAATAAACGTATATTTGTTCAATACCTGAGTCTATTGCAAGTGGGATGCAGTTAGTACTGACACACCCTCAGTAGTGCAGAGCGTAATATGAACATTACATAAACCTTTGCATTTTATGAAGTTTAGCATCTCAAACTTCAAAAGGGTTCACAACTTATGACAGGCTTGATAATCTTCTTTGTTTAAACCATTAAATTATATAATGTATATTGATGATACTTTCATTATTTTTGAAGTTTCTAAATAGGTCAATAGTTTTTACTATTTCAACAATAAACAATAAGTTCAAAGATGAAAATTTACAAATTTATCAGCTTTTACTTTAGACATCTTTATTCACAATAAAAATGGAAAATTTAATGTGAACTATTTCATGAGAAAATCTAGCTGAGCTTTTACAAGTTTATATTTTACATTTGATAATTTTTTTACCATTTTCCATAAAGAAGAACCTAGTAAAAATCCTTATTCATAAAGCATACAAAATAACCATATGATTTCTTCCATAAAGAACCTGAAAATATCAAAATGTTTTAAGTTAACTAATAATGCCTCTCCAATAAGTGTAATAAATAACAATTTTTATAACTATTTTAATGGTATGATCTTTCCTAGACAGTCAAACTGGAAGGTTGTTAAAAAGAAAATTGTTATCTACTACCAAATACAGACAAACAAGCAAATTTTAATGAGATGTCAATTATGTAAAAGTTTTTCATGTTTAAAGATGAAATATCTACATTCAAAACTTTAAAAGTTAAGAATAAAAACTGAATGTCTTTTATAATATAATGCCAGTTTCCTGATACCTTTGGAAAGTCATACACAGAGTATTTTGTTAATTAGATTTAAACATATATTCAAAAGGTTTTTCATCTCTCCTACTTTAATTTCATATAATTCACAACTTCTGCATATTGTGCATTCTTCAATGCAATTAGCTATCTGCCTTTGTGGCATGTATTTACACTTACTAAATTATCTTGCACAGTGTGCAGGATAAGCCATGTTACATATTTATAAGGTGCAAAGACTTATTTTCTCATTTTCATAATTTGTAAGGCAAAATTTTTCTGTAGCTCCAAGGTTTATTTATCTTAATTATTATTGAATAATTTTAAAGTTTAACACTTATATCTGCACTCAATATTATCATATTTCAATGTATAATCACATTACGCAATCTTCTACAGGTAATAATAATGACATTAAAAATGCACGATTAGGACAAACAACATTTTGGATGACAGATAATAAGATCGGCACAGTTCCGCTTTACTTACTTCAAAGCTAGCTCTTCAGGTACTTGCTTAGGAACTAAAGGTTTTGACAAACAAACATCTATTTGAATAAAGGAGCAATGATCTACATACTGCTGGCCTATGGTGGAACTTAAAGGAGACAACGTACTTCCACGAGATGTCTGTAAAAGAAAGAAAAATGGGCAACTTTACAAGAAAATAACAATATTTCATAGATCATTGTAGCAATTATAACCAAAAGCACAAGATAAAACAAATATACTTAAAAAATATACAAAGTATTAGTCTTCAAATAAAAAACAACAAAGCAAAATAGGAAATTCATTGCAGTTCAGATGTAGGATGAGTAAACTATTAATGCAGAATGGTTTTTCTAGCCAGGTGGAAATGACAACAAATAAACTAAAGATTTGTATCAGAGACCCGCTGTCCTAGTATGTGATTATGTGGCATATATATATATATAAATAGTACTATAATAATTATTCTGAATATATATGTAGGTTTCACATAAAAGTGTCCTTCAGCAGTTGTACAGGTGATGTATAAAGGCTATAGCGCAACCTCTTTGTAGTAAGAATGATCAGTCACATGGTAACATGTCACACTAGGTAAAAACATGGTTTCTTTGAGTTTAAGACCCCTTAGATTTAACAGCCTGGTAAATGATCAGAAATTGACAATGAATATCTAATAGAAGCAACAGTTTGATGTAACTTTCAGAACACACATTATGTTTGTTTTGCACAAACAATAAAGATTGTTCTTTTGCTTCATACTTATTATTCTCGTTATTCTGTTTAACATTGATTCAGTTATGTAAAACATTTAGTACTACTGTGTAATCACTATCTTCATTGAATCTCCTGTTATTCTAAGAATCTATCTAGTGAACTGAAACTTACATTAAGTTCACCTATGAAGATGGGTAACAAGAAAATTTGGTGCCATGACTGCAAGAAAATTGTTATCGTTTGCTATTAGCTGCTGAAGTGTGTACTGCCCATTACATGAACTATTGTATTATTAAGTTAAGAAGGTTTTCAAGTTTTAGAAGTGGCATTTTTGCAAACTAGAAGGGCTTATGACAGATAGGAAGAGTCTGTCACTGATGGGAGGTGATTGTCCAAGATGTTGGATTTCACCAAGGCAGTACAGGTCCATGACTTTGATCTCATTAATTGCGACCTATGACTCAGGCGAGAGAGCTGCCATAAACCAAACATCCAAATCTTTCAATTGAGTTCTTCTCCAAGTGAATGATCTTGGTGCAAGGGAAACACAAACTGAGGACTGAAGAGGTGGTTTGACATCTCGTGAGCCTGAGACAGGGTATGCCCCAAACTTTGGATGGAAGCACAGGAGAATAATGAGAGACTGGTAGTATCATTTGATGACATCATCTACCAACCAGAGTCATCTCCTGGCTCCAGAATTTAGGTCCAGTAAGATGAAGAAAGAAATGCTAGTAGTTGTTTTAAAAGCAAAGATGAAGCCATATGAATGATGTTCAATTCAGCACATATTTTGTGAATCAACACACTTTCATTAGTTTTGAAAATTTTTTTCCTTTACTACACTTCCCAAAATGTTTGGCCATAGGTATAAAGTCACAGTCTTGTAAACAGTGGCAAAGAATGGATGACTGATTATATGGGATATTTTGCACATGCTCTTTAGTTCTAGAACTCAAACAATGAACTGCAGAGCCCAACATAGCCATAGTTACACCTTGGAGATGTAAATTTATAAATGACATAATTGTGATGGTTTTTAGGAATCCTGTCTTTAAATCTAAAGTAATTACTTAAATGGCATATCTGTTTAAAAACAATTCTAAGCTGAATTTAAAGATAAACTTTTTTATTCAAAATCATTTTTATTTTTTTTTCTATAACTCTATAGCATGTTCACCTGTAAATGTTAAACTATTTCTTTACTATTAGCACATTTACTGATTTTAAACGTGTCCAAAGCTCTTAAATATTTCTTAACAATACTGTCAATCAACTATAAAAAGAAAACTATTTTTCTGTAAGACAACCTTCATATTTTTCACTTCTTCATGAAATCCAGAAAACTGTTATAAACCCAATGCATTAAATTATAAATTAACTTCTTTTTAAATTAAAATGGTAAAAAAACTGTCAAAATGAAAATACTGCCCACTAAATGTTGGTTTATGGTAACACTTAGTCCCAAAACTTTTTACCAAATTAAGTATTTTAGTTGTTTTGGTTTGGTTTTTGATTTCACAGAAAGCTACTTGAGAGCTATCTGCACTAGTCATCCCTAATTTAGCAGTGAGGGAAGGGTAGATAATCATCCACCACCAACTTTTGGGCTACTCTTTTACTAACGAATATTGGGATTGACTGTCACATTATGACACCCCCAAGGCTGAAAGAGCGAGCATGTTCAATGATGTGTATTTGAACCTACAACCCACAGATTGCGAATCAAGCTCCATAAACACCAAGCCAAACTATTTTAGTATCCAAAAATGGTACGGTTTTTGCAGTTTGTTCTTCAATCATAGATTAAATATTACTAAGTTGGCTATTCAAGTAATCTTTAAATTCATAAACATCAAATTTATTTTTATACTTCACAAATGTGTCATCAACATTCTGTCATATAAAGGTTTAAACTTTACAGGACAACTTTCTAACCACCTTTGCTCATGATAACTTAAAAACAAATTAGCTAAACATTGTACAACCCTTAAACCTATAGACACTCTTATCAATTTGTTCATAATAACAATCATTGAAAAAGAAAATAGATTCTTTGGTAACAAATTCCAATAATTTAATGAAAATAGATTTTGCTATACTCCTAATGATATCCAACTTGTGGAAAATGAAATTACTACTTAATGTTATTAGTTTCTTTAACAGTAAATGTTTATACAAAGACTAGATGTCTAAACTTGCAACATAGACAGGTTCATCAGAAACTAATTTAAAGACATATTTAGAGGATGTATAACTATTTGTTAATGTCAGTTCATTAGTTAGATGAGGTTCAAAAAACCACACTAAAAACCTCCTAATTTAAGTGTGAAAGAACCTATACATGACACTATCATTTTTATAGAACAATTTGTGTACCTTAGCTAACCCATTGAATATTCCGTAATGTGAACCAACTGGTCAAATTTCATTATAAATAGTTTCAGATATTAACCCTTCTTTCTTAATTTTTAACAGATAATTTTATAAACATCTTTCTCTTAAAGCTGTAGGATAAGATTCTAATTTCTTAAATTTAATATTATCATTTAAAATAGTTAAAGCTTTCTCTACATAACCTTTCTTATTCAAAATTACTATACCATTACTTTAACTAGTTTAATAAG